TTCTTATTTTTGATTTTTCGGGCACCAAACTTCGTTTTTTTCGCTCCGTTTTTTTCACACCTCTATTATACATGATTATCTATATTTTCATCAACTTATAGCTATTAATATCATTCATAAAGTTGTGTGTACATACGGGATCCATTACTCTTTTAGTGGTTTAACACTATAATGCTTATGAATACGTTCACATACATCTCACAAACACGTATACATACACATATACACATACACATATACCATAACTCATTCATGTGTATAAATATACATATACAAACATAATCCATCACAAGTTGGTGAAAAATATATGCATTACAATCTTAAACTGTGAAACGAGTACTTGATCCCGAAGGGGCACACGACTTTATGAACGATATTAATAGCTACAAGTTGGTGAAAATAAAGATAATCATGTATAGTAGAGATGTGAAAAAAACAAAGCGAAAAAAACGACGTTTGGTGCCCGAAAAATTGAAAATAAGAAAAATCCATAGCTACTTAGCTACGGATTAGCTACAGAATTCTAATGGAAAGCATACTCCGTAGCTAATCCGTAGGTAATTTGTATACGTAGGTATTCCGTAGCCATTCCGTAGCTAATTAGCTACGGAATAGCTACGGATTTGCATCTGTAGCTATTCCGTAGCTAATTAGCTACGGAATAGCTACAGACCCGCATCCGTAGCTATTCCGTATCTATTCCGTTACTAAACTAGGGCATCCCATTCTGTAGCTGATCCGTAGCGATTCCGTAGCTAATTAGCTACGGAAATTTTCCGTAGCTATTTTCCGTAGGAAAACGCCATGTTTTCTAGTAGTGGGGACCATGTGGACTTTGTGGAAAGCTCGGAATGATAGATTTTTTTTAAAAATTGAAGTGAATTTGGAGAGGATTGTGGCTGCTGCAACGTCATTAACGTATGTTTAGGTTAAACATAGAGGAGATAAAGATAGTATAGATTGGAACTTATCCCATTTTCTTTGTAATTGAATCACTGTGTGCTAAACATCCAAGCTAGCTGCTTGCAAGTGGGATGAATTTCATTATTAATAAAATTGCCGGTTAAAAAAACAAAAAATACCCATATTAATGGAAATCAATTAACGCACCATAACATCACCTACCAATTTCAAGTTCGCACATGTAACAAAATTTACACAATTTACCCAATTCTAACCATTTTTTTTTGTTAAAAGTCTTTGTCCCTCACAAAACTATAAAACAAAACAACATCTCTCCTGTCAAGATGAACAATTTATTACAAGTATTTCTTTTTACCTTGTTTCTCACAATCCCAGATCAAAAATATAAACATATAATAGCATCTTCAATTATGTTGAACATTTTTACCCTCCTTTTGTGATTAATTACCCTCTTGATTTATGACTAACATTCTCTGATAATGATATTATGCGAGCTGTGCAGTTGAACTTACAACCTCTAGCTCTTCATTTGTCGGCTCATACGATTGTGGCAACACTTGTTAGTTCCATAGAACCTTCAGTAACCTCATGAAATCACCTACGAAACTTCCATAGCGAGCAACAACTTTGGGGCAATGAAAACATTTAATGAGCCCATTCTTGGTAAAAACTTTCATTCTGAATATAATTTGTAAATATGGTCAATAAAAATATGTTGTGCTAACTGCGCATTAAAGAAATAATGACATCTTTAATGGCTTCTTGAATAAATGTGTGGATTTGGGCCATTTGGCTAATGGGATTAAGATTACTGCTTTTAATTTGCTTAATATTCGATCTACAAAAAGCTGCCTTAATCAATTTGAACGACCGATGGGTGTAATTGCACGGTAAAGGAATGTTATAAAATTCTTATAGTTTCTAGTTGTTGCGAGTGTTTTTAGTATATTTGTCAAAAAAGTGGGCTATTTAGCGTGATACATCATATCCTATACATAGTCATTTATAAAATCTAAAAATTGTAAATGTTAATTCGTTATCATAAAGATTTTCTAGAAAGGTTGTTATTACCTTTCTTTTTTATTATTCTATTTTATTTATTTATTTATTTTTTTCAAACGGCAAATATAGTAAACTATTTGTAAATTATTCCACCTATGTCCACTGTGAGACTTAAATCCTCAATCTCAAAGAAGATGGACAACAACTTAAATCCTCAATCTCAAAGAAGATGGACAACAACGGATACCGTTAGGCTAGAAACTCTTTAATTGTTATTACTTGAAAGTCTGAAACTATGCAATAAAGTGGTCCTAAATTTAATTTCAAGGTCTTTAAATGCAATTATAACCAAAGTTCTAAATAACGTAAGACGTGACATTGTAGCAACGTCAAGCCTCAAGCTTTTCCGTGTTTTGGCGAGCCACGATGTTTGTAAGGCGTGACTTAAATCGGCAATTTTGTATATAATTAATATTTTTATATGTATTTTCAACTATTTTTCTAATTTATACACATATATGAGTTAAGACGGCGTTTTGGTAAAGTTTGACGGCAAACATAAGCCTTGGAGCCATGACGAACTTTTTAGAACCTTGTTTGTAACTAAAAGATCTATCAATTTTTTTTGGAACAACAAATTAGTATAATAATGAATTACAATCTATGCCTCCACAAGACTTGAACTTATAAACTCTCAAGTCACGTAACGCTAGCCCAAAAAACCTTTTAAGAGATTTATCAATGGTTAATTTATGTTTGTACATAAGTTTCGTTAATGTGAAATTTTATAAATCTAAATGTTTAAAGAAAAAGGAGACGCTCTTTTTCTTTTTCCTATTTCTTTTGACAAATTGTTCATTATATAGTAATAACGTGAGGAGAAAATTAACTATAATGCACATGGTAATGCTATAAATACCCGATTTTCCCTTTTAATTTGTATATCACAAACACAAAGCAACAACATGAACCCCTTGGACCATGTAGAATTCAGAAGGCAAGGCCATATGATAATAGACTTCCTTGCCGATTATTATGAAAATATCAACAATTACCCTGTCCGAAGCCAAGTCAATCCCGGTTATCTAGTAGAAAGGTTGCCTGATCATGCTCCATTTATCCCAGAGTCAATTGAAAGCATACTAAATGATGTCGAGAAAGATATTATCCCAGGCTTAACACATTGGCAAAGTCCAAACTTTTTTGCCTACTTTGCATCCAGCGGAAGCACAGCAAGTTTTCTTGGTGAAATGCTTATGAATGGGTTTAATGTTGTCGGATTCAATTGGCTTGCATCTCCTGCAGCAACAGAGCTAGAGATCGTGGTCATGAAGTGGCTATCAAAACTACTCCAACTTCCGCCGGCCTTCTCATTCTCAGGTGGTGGTGGGGGTGTTTTGCTTGGCACTACGTGTGAGGCCTTCATTTGCACCCTGATTGCAGCAAGAGACAAGATGCTTGATCAAATAGGAAGAGAAAACTATGAGAAGCTTGTTGTCTATTGTTCGGATCAAACCCATGTGGGTCTCATGAAAGCAGCCAAAATTGTTGGAATAAAACCGGAGAATGTTCGACAAGTCATGACAACCAAGTCCACAAACTATAAACTCTCTCCACAACGACTGGAAGAGTTGATTAAAAGAGATGTTGAAGCTGGCTTATTTCCGTTGTATTTATGTGCTACTATTGGAACAACGTCAACCACAACAGTGGATCCGTTGGGACCCTTGTGTGAGGTGTCAAGCAAATATAATATATGGGTCCACGTGGATGCTGCATATGCCGGAAGTGCTTGTATATGCCCTGAGTTTCGTCACTTTCTTGATGGTGTAGAGGGTGCTAGTTCCTTTAGTTTCAATGCACACAAATGGCTCCTCACAAATCTTGCTTGTTGCTGCCTTTGGGTGAAAGACAAATCGGCTCTCACAAAATCTCTCTCCACGAACTCGGAATATTTGAAAAACAAAGCCACTGAATCAGGACAAGTTGTGGACTTCAAAGACTGGCAGATAACACTCACAAGACGATTCCAAGCGTTGAAGTTATGGATGGTACTACGGAGTTATGGGGTGACTGGTTTGAGGCAGTTCTTAAGAAACCATGTGAAAATGGCTAAAGATTTGGAAAGGTTGGTGACCATGGACAGTAGGTTTGAGATTGTGGCACCTAGATACTTTTCTGTGGTTTGTTTTAGGGTTTCACCCTATGCGATTAATCAGCACCACGGCAACCACGATGAAGTAAATGAATTCAATAGTAAATTACTGGAAGCAATAAATGCAACAGGGCTTGTTTACATGACGCAATCAGTGGTTGACGGAGTTTACTTTATCCGGTTTTCTATTGGAGCAACACTCACCGAAGATAGGCATGTAAAGATGGCTTGGGAGTTGGTGCAGGATCAAGCAACTTCCCTGTTGGGTACACTGGCACCAAAGAAGGCTTCTAATGGAAAACACACCAAGCAGATCGAAGACCACTTTATGTAATCATCTAAAAGAAGAAATACAATATAACATGTTCTCCATTCTATGTAATTTGAATAATTTTTAGGTGCGGTACTGTAACCGCATTTATGAATAAATAATCATTGTGATAAACAAATTATA